CGTCCTTGCATGCAGCATTAACAAAACTGGTTTTCTGTTTATTTTGGTAACTCATACGAGAAGTGATTCAACCTACCTTCCCAAACAAAGACATGGCGTGAGGGCAATTCTTACGTTATGATTTGAATTCTTAATGCTTGCAAAATACAAACAATTTAAATGCTCATTAGTTTTTCAACGATAATTAATTATAATGATAGACATGCACATGTTACGTACTGTACGTAGGATCTGCCTAAGAATTTTAAAAATGACCGTCACACTAATTATTAATTCTTATATCATGAAACCAACCCCGAGGCACATGTTCCACACTAGTTTTTGTTACATTGTGTCTTTATTTTTATTTTTTTCTTTTTCCTTTTTATCTTTTTTGCACGTTTATGGACAGAGATCATAGGTGTCAAAATATTGAAACATTTGAAAGTTTATGCACTCTGTGGAGTGTTAACCTAATAGCTTATGAGAGGGGTATAATGTGACACCCTTACTACCCCAACACATATATTGTAATAAATCTTTCTTAATATTTATTACATGTTTGTTGATCATTTTACTCGCTATATTTGTCTATATCCAATAAAATGCAAATCTGATGTGCAAACTCTGTGTCCCAAATTTAAATCGCTTGTTGAAAATTTCTTTCATCACAACATCAAAATTCTTTACACGGATAATGGTGGTGAATATATTGGTCTTCGTCCTTTTTTAAGCACTCATGGAATAAGTCATCACACCACCCCACCTCATACACCTGAACACAATGGAATTTCTGAACGCCGGAATCGACACATTGCCGAAACTAGTCTCTTTCTTCTCCATCACTTGGGTTTGCCCCTCACATATTGGCCTCACGCCATGACAACAGCTGCCTATCTCATCAATCGGCTCCCAACACCAATTCTTGGGTACCAGTCACCCTATTCCAAATTACTCAAAATTAGCCCAGATTATCATAAGTTAAAGTGTTTTGGTTGTTTTTGTTTTCCTTGGATTAAACCATATGCTAACCATAAACTTGCACCAAAGTCTGCTATGTGTGTTTTTGTAGGTTACTCGATTGATCAATGTCGCCACCCGCCGAAACGGACCTTGGCATTCGCGACGATGGTTGGACTCGTTTTTATAGTTTGAAAAGTGGTGGATTGTTAGAACGACTTATTCTCAAACTGAGACCTCATCGAACTAACAATTTTATTAAATGATTCACCAATCCATGTTAATCCCAAGCGGGACCCTCCATGGATTAGTGGTTTTCGCAAAAGAAGGGTTCTTGGAGTCGCCACCAATGTTTTACTCAAAACATTGGAAAAAG